GTGAGTTTCTTTTGTTTTTTGTTTTTTTTGTGTGTGTTTTGGGGGGCGTTTTCATTTTCTTTCGTTTTTTTTCGTAGTTCCCGATGTAGAACAAGGAGGTTAACCAGTGATAAATTAATTTTTATGGCGGTGGTACATGTGGAATGATGTTGCAGTTGCAGCGGCACAGGGGCTCCTGTTCGGCTGGGCTCTCTCTCCTCTCCCTGTCGCTCCCTCTCACTCTCACTTTCTGCCTTTCCCCTTCTCTCTTCTATCTTCTCTCTTCTCTCGATGGCTCTCCTCTCCCTTTTCTCTGTTCTGTTTATCTCTCTTCTCTCTCTCTCTCTCCCTCTCTTTCTCCCTTTCCTCGCCTTCTCCCACCCCTTACCTTCCCCCTCTTTCTCTCCTTCTCCTTCTAACTCCCTCTCCCTTTCCCCCTCTCTCCTACTCCCCCTCCCTCTTCCTCTTCCTCCTACTCTCTCTCTCTCTTGTTCCCTCTCCCTCCTATTCTCTCTCCCTTCCCTACCTCTCGCTCTTCCCTCTCCCCTCCCTCACCTCCTCCCTTCCCTCCTCCCTCCCCTCCTCCCTTCACACCTCCCTCCCTCCTCCCTTCACTCCTCCCTCCCTCCCCTCCTCCCTCCCCTCCTCCCTCCCTCCCCTCCTCCCTCCCTCCCCTTCTCCCTCTACTCCCTCCCCTCCTCCCTCCACTCCCTCCTCCCTCCCCTCCCCTCCTCCCTCCACTCCCTCATAAATTGCTCCCGACGACAAAAAGGTATCGGCGATCGCGTAAGAATGCCAGAGATGCCGATAAAAAGGTCGTGTTGTAGCCCCGTCTCGATGCCTCGGACGGACCCAGCGCAGGTCCACGGAGACATAATATACTCACATGGATAGGGACACAAACGCACGAACGTATTATACGTACATGCCCTGACGCGGGGACAAAAAGAGCCCGTAAGCAGTCGTAACGGTCAGACGCGCAGAAAGATGTGGACGCGTTAAAGTACAAATATACGGAAATCAGAACACAGAGAGACGCACACATAAATAACAGTCCTCTTCCCCTTTCTACATACAAATCCCCTGACACACACACACACACACACACAGCGACACATACATATCCCCACGTACATAACCCCTCACACACACACACACACACACACACACACACACACACCCACACACACACACACACACACACACACACCACACACACACACACACCACACACACATCCCCACATCACACACATCACCCCATACACACATCCCCCCCCCACACACATCTCCCCCAACACACATACACGCATCCCCCTCCCCCCCCACACACACATACCCCCCCTCCCCCCTCCCCAACACACACACACACACACACACACACACACACACACACACACACACACACACACACACACACACACACACACAGGCATGTACAGATGTGTTCAACAGCGGACAGGTTGCTTAGCCGGAGCCGACGCACATTATTTAGGAGGTCGGCGGATGTTCACTCAGGCGATAAGATTCCGATTGTGACAAGGAATACTGTGTTTGTTGTTGTTGTTGTTGGGTTGGTGGTGGGTTGGTGGTTTGTTTGTTTGGTTGGTCGGTTGGTTGGTTGGTAGGTTTTTCAGATTTGTTGTCCTTTTTCTTGTATTTTCATGTGTTTTTTTTGTTGTTTTTTTCGTCTCTTTTCTTTCTCTTTTTTTTTGTTCTTCTCTGGTCTTGTCTCCTTCCTTCTTGTCTAATCCCTTCCTCTATACAGATTTACCTTCCCCCTTTCCCCCCTCCATATACACCCCCCTTCTCTCCTCTTTCACCCCCCTCCCTCCCCCTCTTCCACCTCCTGTCCCTCCCCCCTTCTTCCATCCCCCCCTCCTCCTCTTCCACCCCCTGTCCCTCCCCCCCTTCTTCCATCCCCACCCCTCCTCCTCTTCCACCCCCTGTCCCTCCCCCCTCTTCCACGTAGATTCACTCCCTCCCCCTCCCCCTCCCCCCAGTCAAGAGAGGGGAGGGGGAGGGGAGATGGATATCGCTCGTAATCACGTTTTCACTTCCGCCTCTTCCCTCGTTTCTCGTGCGACGGCCTCAGGTCAGCTAGCTCTCTCTCTCTCTCTCTCTCTCTCTCTCTCTCTCTCTCTCTCTCTCTCTCTCTCTCTCTCTCTCTCCTCCTCCTCCTCTCTCCTCCTCTCCCCTCCATCCCTCCCTCCCTCCCTCTCTCTCTTTTATCTTTTTTATCTTTTATCTGTTTTATCTCTTTTTCTTTTTCTCTCTCATTCTCTCTTTCTTTGTTGTTGTTTTTCTTCTTATTCTTTCCGTGTTTCTTGTTTTTGTTGTTGTTGTAGTTGTTGTTCTTCATTTAGCTTTTTATTCACGTGTTAATTTTCCTTCTCCTCCTCCTCCTCCTTTTTCTTCTTCTTCCTCTTCCTCTTCCTCTTCCTCATCTTCCGTTCTCATTCCATGTCTTTCTTTCTCTCTCTTTTATTTTTTCCCCCTTTTTCTCCTTTTTTTTGACACGTACGTTGGTACTTAACATTCCCTCAGGCGGTCGAGTGTTATAGTTGATCTTTGGCCGGTTTTATTGGCTGTTTAAGAAGGTCAGTATTTTTTCGGCTATTTTCTCTTCTCTTGCTCTCGTTCGTTTGCCTTTTTTCACTATTTCATTCTGTTTTGTTTCTCTTCGTGTTCGTATTCGATTTTTTTTCTTCACCTCTCTTTCTGGTCACTTTTCTGTTTCTGTCTCTGTATGTCTGTCTCTGTCTTTCTCTCTCTCTTTCTCTCTCTCTTTCTCTCTCTCTTTCTCTCTCTCTCTCTCTCTTTCTTTCTTTCTTTCTTTCTCTCTCTCTTTCTCTCTCTCTCTCTCTCTTTCTCTCTCTCTCTCTTTCTCTCTCTCTCTCTCTCTCTCTCTCTCTCTCTCTCTCTCTCTCTCTCTCTCTCTCTCTCTCTCTCTCTCTCTCTCTCTCTCTCCTTTTCTTTTCCTCCTACTCTGCTTCTCTCTCTACCTCCCTCCGTCTCTGCCATCCTTTTCTCTCTCTCTCTCTCTCTCTCTCTCTCTCTCTCTCTCTCTCTCTCTCTCTCTCTCTCTCTCTCTCTCTCTCTCTCTCGCCTTTTCTTTCCCTTCTCCCCCCCCCCCTTCCCTGCCCTTTCCCCTCCCCCTTGCTACCCCATTTTTCCACACACGGATTCTTTACGAACGCGAAGTTAGACCCGGGCCACAGAACACGTGTCCGGGCGCCCATTTACAACGTCTCACGCTACTGCAGAAGACGATGAGGAAGGTGTACGGGGAAGTTAGACTGGAGTTAAATGAGTGAGTTAGAAATTAGGTTGAAGTTGAATGAGGAAGTTGGGAGAAGTTGGGGGAAGGTTTGGACGAGGGAGTTGGTCGAAGTTAAATGAAACTGAATGAGAAAGTTAGGAGTTAGGCGAAGGTAAATGAAATTGAATGAGGAAGTTAGGAGTTGGTCGAAGGTAAATGAAACTGAATGAGGAGTTAGGAGTTAGGCGAAGTTAAATGAAACTGAATGAGAAAGTTAGTCAGAGTTAGGCGAAGGTAAATGAAACTGAATGAGAAAGTTAGTCAGAGTTAGGAGTTAGGTGAAGTTGGACGAGAGAGTTAGGAGAAGTTTGACGAAGCTGATAGAGAGTTAGGAGTTAGAAATGGAGTAGAGTTCGTTAAAGGAGTGTTCAGAGAAGAAATCAGACGAAGTTTCAACAAGTTGGACTCGAAGACGAACGAGAGAATTTGAAAACCAAGCTCTGTGGAAGAAGTTGGACAGTTAAGGCGAAGTTAGACGAAGGAAGTTTGGACTAAGAAGGTAAAATGGTCAGACGAAGTTAGAAGAAGGAAGCTTAGACGGTGTAGAGCATCTGCGGTCGTTTCATCCCTCGCCTCTGACTCCGGTCCTCGTGTTGTTGATTGTGCGTATATATCATCTCGGACAGGTAGCGGCGGCGAGGGGGAGGGGGGGGGTTAAAGGGGAGGGAGCGAGAGGGAGTGAGGGGGAGAAAGGGGAGGGAGCGAGAAGGTAGAAGGGGTGAGAGAGAGGGAGAGAGGGGGGAGAGAGGGAGAAGGTGAAAGGGGTGAGGGAACGAGAGAGAGAGGGAGAGGGAACGAGAGGGAGAGAGAATAGAAAGGGTGACAGAGAGAGAGGGGGTGAGGAGAGGGAGAGAGGGAGAAAGTAAGAGGGGTGAAGGAACGAGAGAAAGGGGGCGAGAGGGAGAGGAAGAAGGGGAGAGGGTGAGAGGGAGGGAGGGAGAGAGGGAGAGAGGGCGAGTGTGGAGCTGTAGAGTTGTAGGCGCTTGTGTCGAGTCATGCTCTCCCTAGGTGTAACGTGGGGTCCTTGGTTGGGCTTTTGTGTGTGTTTGCCTGTCTTTTCTCTCCTATTCTATTCTCTTTCGCGCACATACACACTCGCTCTTTGTCTTTCTCTGTTTTTTTTCTCTTCTCTCTCTTCACCACTCCCTCCTTCAAACTCGCTCTTTCTGTGTTTCCTCTCGCCTTCCCTCCCTTTTTTCGTCTCTCCTTCCTGATCTTCGCTCCATCATTCCTTCCTTTCTTCCCTCCCCCCTCTTTCCCTCCCTTCCTCCTTCCTTCCTTCGTTTCCTCCCTGCTTCCTTCCCTCATTCCCACTCTCTCTCTCTCTCTCTCTCTCTCTCTCTCTCTCTCTCTCTCTTTCTCTCTCTCTCTCTCTCTCTCTCTCTCTCTCTCTCTTCACTCTCTTTCTCTCTCTTTTCACTCTCTCTCTCTCTCTTTTCACTCTCTTTCTCTCTCATTTCTCTCTCTCTCTCTCTTTCTTTCTCGCTCTCTCTTTTCATTCTCTCTCTCTTTTCACTCTCTTTCTCTCTCTTTTCACTCTGTCCGTTCACCCTTGCTTCCTCATTTTAGCCTGTCCGTTCATCCATGATTCTTTCTGTTCATCCTGTCCATTCATTCATGGTTCCTCTCTTCCCCCGGTCCGTTCACTCTTTGTCTCCTCTCTTCACCCTGACTGTTCACCCTGGGACTCCCTTCTATCA